CTCCCCACTCCCCCTCCCTCTTCTAAGTTTCTGTTTCCCCATAAAGACCACCTTCTGAATCACTGAATCTCTTCCGAATCTATTCGGAGGCTCTGAATAGATTCAAAAAGTTTTATGCTTCTAGCGATTCAATTCAGATTTGGAGATTTGGCCTCCAAATCAGGCTGGATCCCCTCTGAATCGAATCATGAACCAAAGTGTTGCACAGCCCTATCAGTCAGCAACAAAACAGCAGGGCTGCCCCTCAGCTAATCAGCGGCAAGCATCAAAAATGGTGCCATACTTAATACTGTGGTTTTTGCCTCCCTGTGGATCAGGAGCAAGAGGCAAGCAGTGGGGCCCCTCAGCCAATCAATGGTGAGGACGTGCACAGGGGAATCTTCAAGATTAAAGGAGCCACTACACAGCCCACTCCCTCCGTTAATTTGTTAGGTCTGTAATCAGGGGCAGTGCTAGGGGAGGCTTGGGGGGGCTAGTCACCTCAAAATTCACCCTAGCCACCCCTCCCAGCACCACCCCTCCCTCTGGGCCCCCACTGCCTGCCCTGTGTGGCTGAGCCCACCCCACTCCTGCCTGCAGCACAGCCCCACTAGGAAGAGGCTGGTACCACCCCTGTCTCTAATCATGGGTGACTTGTGGAGGGAGGGGGGCACAGGGAAGCAATCCTTCCTAATTTCATGTCATATGCAAGCTTACTCAGGAAGCGCTCTCTTCCAAATCATTATTGTAAAAATATCACTTAATTTCAGATTACTGTCAAGCCACTCAGAATTTCTTACAACTTGCAGTCTCTGTTTGTTTTACTTTAAAATATATCTGAATAGAGGAAATAGTAGTTAAAAAGAGACAACACAAGTGAAAATGTGAAGATTTTGTGAAATAGCTCAAGTCACAATAACTGAGACTGTATTGTGGTGAAACTTTGTATTAAACATTGAACAGAAATTTCATTAACAGTTTGCTTCATATAGCAAATCATCCTCATGTCAAATTTATGATAGTCAGGCAGCAAACCTGTACTTAGACATTATCACTTTTTTTTAGCTTAGAACAACTGTCATGTGAGGGTTTTTTAGGTCTAGTGTTGTTTGTAAATTCATAATAAATTATGGCAATGCTAACTGTATGCAGTGTATGAAATGTAAGTTTGAGTTGGGGGAGTTCACCTCTACAGAAAATACTGAATTCACTCAATGCTCCAATTTATTCTAAAATTCCAAGAAAACTTCAGCCAGTTGTTACATACATCCTTTACAGGACAAGATGTGCTGAGTCTCCACTGAATCTCCATGTATGGCATATTCTCCTGCAGTGGGGGAGAAGGAGTGGGGACATAGAAAGAAAACCTGAGTGTTGCTGAATTGCAATTAAAAGCCTTGCCTTAGTAGGGCATATTGTCTAAGAACCCAATACAGCAAAGTAATTGAAAACATTGGGTGGCATTCCATAATCCCTGTAGGTGTCTAAAAATAGGGGAGCCTGAAAAGACTATGAGAGTATCTAAAATCAGTGGCATTCCATTGGTCTCTGAGGGCACGTCTACAAAAGATGCTGCTACACACTGGTTACTGTGCATTTATTTAGTATTTGTATAATCAAGTACTAAATAACTGTGCAGTAACTGGAGTTACTGCACAGTAGCACCGGTGAACACCTTTTTAGTGATGCTACTGCAAAGTAGCCTAATAATACGGCGCAGCAGCATTTCAGCACTGTTTGTGCTGTGATGCGCTACTGCACAGTATTATTCAGCTACTGCACAGTTAGTGTCTTGTGTAGACACGCCCTGTGGGAACCTATGTGCTCCTGTTTTAAGTATAGGTCCCCATCTAGGTGCCCACAAGGCAGAATGCCTTACATGTTTGCAGGTGAGTGTCCAAAGGTCCACCAATCTGTGTATCTGTTCACCCACAGGGGTGATGGGAGGGCACTGTTTCCTGTGGGCTCCCCTGCCTCCTATTCCTATTTGCACATAGGAGGCTGTACAGAGCCACTCAAATGCACAAAGGAAGGCAAGGCACTGCCTGTACAGGAGTTGAAGTTAACTAGGACCAAAAATGGCTATGTAAACAGCTAGACTTAACTGGCATTCTGGTACTATATGGACATTTACATCTCCAGAATACCAAACTGCTCCCTCCACTCTCATCCCTGCCTTTTTCAGATACTTACATTCTGGATAACCAGAGTTGAGCCCCACACAGCAGGATCTCAGCCCCCATTCTCAGGCTCCCCTTAAACGGGTTAGCATGCAGGATGCACACACAAGGCCAGCACAACTATGACAGGAGCAAAGGTAGCTCAGGGGAGGATCAGGGAGTAATGGAATGCCTCTTTTACCCCACAGAGCTGCAGACCATAAATGCAGTTCATGGCCCTGCACTTGGGGAGTGACAGTTTTTGAGACCCCCCCTCAATTTAGCGTGACTGCCTGTGGGACAAATTGCAGCAATGAGTCAACTCTGTGGGGGATGTGGACAATCAATGGAGTTCATCCAAATGAAGTGGAGGGACTTAGGACAGTGGGTAAGGTTGCATTTCCTCAAGAAGAAACACCTCCCTCCCCAATCTAGCGCCTTCCACCCAGAGCTACCCTCAGGTTCCTTCCCAGCTTCCCAATCCTGCCAGACTAGGTGCAACCTGTTTCCACTCCTTGCCTGCCTCCCCAGTCTGTCCCTACCCTTTCCCTGCTTTCCCCTGTACCTAATCTCCCTGGGGCCCCTTCAGTTGCCTCTCTGTTGTGCCTGGCATGCCTACCTGCCACTCCCCTACAGGTGGTCATGGGCCCAGCCCCTTTCCTATAGGCAGCCATTGCCACCTATTCCCTCATTGTATTGGCTCCCACCTGCACTATAGGCAAAGTCCCTGTAATCATGCTCTGAGTATGAATACATTTTTCTAGCTGTGCAGGGCTCTATGTGGCTAGAAACATTTAACAGAATGCCTCTAGCTGGGTACAGCCTCTTCATGGCTAGGAACAGCTGATCGCAGAGATGTGCAGCTGGTTCACATGGCTATATTTAGTTGCATCTGGGACTGCCACACCTAAATCCTCACAGATGGAGGGAGATGAGAAGGAATAAAATTTAAAACTTTGATTTAGCCAGCTAAATGAATACACGTGTAACTTATATGGCTAAATTGGCTAATAGAACATCACCCATTGTGTTCGCAAAGATCTAAACCCATGGTTTTTATGACTAGGGACCCAAGGGAGGACTAAAGATCAGACCTTCCATGATACTCCATAGTAATTTTTTTTATCATTTTGGTACCCAGATCCATACTAAATATATAAAGTAGTAAGCATTTACAGGAACAGGAATTAGAACCCTAGTATATCTCTCTGCCTCCACCCACCCCTTCCAGCTTCACTGAATACCAGTAGCTATAAAGTCATACACTCACTCTCTAACCCAGTAACCGTTTTATTTCACATGAAATTTAAAAGAACTTAGGGCCTTGTTATACCTTATGTTGTGAATCACATAAATGTTGACTGATGTTAGTGCTAGCTTGGAGTTTGGAGCAATCACACCCTTCACCCTTAGTCAAGAAACCTTTACTGACAGTCCCTCACCTGCACTGCTGTGACTTGCCATTGGTGAGCTGGGGCAGGACTAGGAGCTGTAGCTGTGAGTTGCCACTAGAGGGCTGGGGAGCGAGGACAGGGTCTACAGGTGGGGGTGTGAAAGATCTTGAGATACGGGAGGACCTCAGCTTGGGTGGCACATCTGTGGGGAGCAGCTACCCCTTAATGGACCAGGAAGTGGGTAGTGCAGATCAGAGATAATCCTGCCCTTGAGGGGTATAACTTTGAGCTGCATAGCAAGTGCTTAAAGTCATTTTAGTAAAATGTTAATGTGTGGACAATCCAGGGGTTAAGAGCTCCAGGAGCTGCACAAAATTACTGTGTAACAAGGTCCTAAGAGACTCAAAACACCCTATAACAGCGGTTCCCAAACTATGACAGATTGCGCACCACCAATTTAAAATGATACAACTTTAAGTACCACCAGCAATTTTTTCAGTTCAACCTTAAGTACCACCAGCAAAATTTTTGTCATATGAAGTAAGTATAATAAATCTATTAATGCGTACCAATAACAGTTTGTCTGTGTACCACTGGTGGTATATGTACCACAGATTGGGAACCACTGCCCTATAACTTTACGGATTAGATTACTTTCCTGAGGAAAAAGGGAATAGGGTTGAAATCTCTTCAGACAGAAGAGGGCTTTGAATCTGTATTAGTGCTCTAAACACTGGGGGCACCTAAACACGTGCCGAACACCTGCTCTGATGCAAGCTAATAATAAATTTCTGGGCAATGATAGATTTCTTGTGGAATTTTATTTTTAAAAATTAATGATATTTTATCTTAATTATTAAACTCTATAATGGTAGTTAAAACCCACCCCCAAAACAATGTACACTACCAGCCACTTTGTATAAAGTTATTATTTTTGTAAGTTGTAAACCAGGCAAGGATTCTGTGAACTGTTGTAATTATAGACCAATTTTTGTAATGAATATAGACAGCAACATTCCAGCCAAACCTTTATCATACAGATTGGAACAGGTTCTCCTTCAATTACTTCACACAAATCAAGTAGGATTTATTAAAGCAAGGCATTATTCAGATCTTGAACATCAGGTTATTGATATAGTGGTAACAGAACAAAATTCTTAAATTCCAATAATTCTTTTAGCGCCTGATTCAAAGAAGGCCTTGACTGTGGGCACGCACTGTGTTAATGCGCATTAGCACAACTACACGTTCGCTAATGCGACTTAGCTAGTCATGAATAAATTTGATGCCTGCTTTAGGCAGGTATCAAATTTAGGCTCAAATAGCTTAAAATCACCACTTTTAAGGTGCATAAAGGCATGCACGTGTAGACACATGCTTTTAATGTGTCTTAAATTGGGCTAATGCACATTAAAAATGTACATGTAGACACGTCCAATGAACACAAGATCCTGTTGCAAGCAAACAATGCACTAATATTTCTGCCAGTCTGGGAGGTCAGTTCCTGCCCTCTCCTCATTAATCAACAATTTTAGCTATCTATCTGGTTATAAAATTAATTGGACTAAATCTGAATTACTTGTACTACATAATGATCCCACAGGGAATATCCTTAGTAAATGGCAGTTTCAATAGCAATCAGAACATATAAGTTATTTGGGTATTAAAATATCCAAGAATATTAATGTTACTATCTACCAAAACTATCAGGAGATTCTCAAAATTATATTACAGGACCTGAACAAACAGGGCAGTTCGACAAAATTCTTGGGAGCAAATGTGAATATTTAAAAAAATGAATACCTTACCTCATCTAATTGATCTATTACATAACCTACCAATTGTAATCCCAAGTCAGAGGCACAGAAAGCTCACTGAGCAGCTGGGGCAGGGGGTGGGGTGTAGGCATATGCTGACCACTATAGACACCGGGGAGGGAGGGGTGGGGGGGAGTGGAGACAGGGAGGGAGAACATGGGTGCGGGAAGGGAAGGCTTACCTTCCCAGGTTGCCATTGCCATTGCTACTCCCACTTCTCCCTGCAGGAGCTGGGAGCCAATCAGCTCCAGGACTGAGGAGCTCTTTGCCCCTTGTCCTTGATCCCAGCTCCCAGCACAGAGCTGCCTGCTCTGGGGAGTGGGCAGGAGCTGGAAACCCAGCTGCCACCTGCCCCCCAGACCAGTTCTGCTCCCACCTGCGCCCTGGAGAAGCCAGCTCCATACCACGCAAAGCTGCTCTGGGAGGCAAGGTTCCCAGCCCCCACCCACACCCCAGAGCAGCCAGCTCTGCACCAAGCAGAGCAGCTGCCAGTGATCCATGGCCCCCTTGGCCCCCCCAACCTGGCAGGAGTCTCGCCAGCAGCTGTCCCACACTCAGGAAAGCTCCCAGCAAACCCTCTGGTGGGCAGGGAAGCCCTGCTAGTAGGGGCTTGCTGGCAGCTCTGTGTCCCGATGGGCACAGGGCCAATAGAGCTCTGCCCACTGCAGGGACAGCTGTCACTGAGTCCTGTGCCCCTTGCCAGCCCCAGGGTGGCATCCCAGCGGAAGCCTGGAGCTTCCCCTGGCTGCTGCAGGAAGGCAGAGCAGGGCAGGAGCAGCCCTGTACCAGGCTGCTCCCATTGGGAAAAAATTTGCTCCCAACAGGCCACCTGTGTAGACGTGCTCCTGGGGAAGGCTTACTGTGCAGTATTTTACTGTACAGTAAGACTACTGTGAATTAATAGCATGTGTAGACATGCCTATTGGGTGCAGAGATGCACCTTGTCTGGCAAAGGCT